CCAAAACACTTTTACTTTTACACTGGACCAGCGTTTCGCTAACCAGCGAATATATATGTTAGCATGCATCATCAGCAGATGATTTAAACTCAAAAAAGTTTTAATTATTTGCTGATGATGCTAACATGGTTAGCAAAAAGCGCGTCCAGTGTAAAAGTAAAAGTGTTTAGGTGTATTGTGGTGATTTAGTATTTTAAGATACACTTTAAATGCATAAATTATAATCTTAAGCTTGGTTTTCATGCGTCCGTTATCCGTTGATACGATGGTCCGACGGCACTCTGATTGGTCATAGCGTCTTCACGCCACTTTTCATCCGTAAATTTTTAAATCGATAATGGACGTTTTACACTTTTTTGACAAATTTAATCTAACCTTAAGAAAAATATAATAGTACAAGAGCTAGTAACGTCGGGAAAACGAGAATTTTAGGAAAACTGGTTCTTTATCTTTTGCTATGCTCTCCTGACCAAAGTTCGGGCCGTCCAAAGGGGCCGTCTGGCTGCCGGTAGACTACTACGCATCACATCTGGCGTTCCCATTTTTGTGTGTTTCATAGGAGTTCTAGTTTATGAGTATATAGAGATACAATGATGCGATTTTCATATTACTTTGCTACTTTTTTATGAAACTAAATATGCTACACATATGTTTGTCCTAGCCTCCTTAGTTCCTGAAATATAGGGCGAATTTGTGATGCGCAGCAGTGAACAGATGTTGAATACAGATATGGGGGTGCGCAGTAGTGAACGCAACGTGTACCGGCAACCGGACGGGCCGCACTCTGTTCAGGATAGCGTAGCAAAAGATATATTAAAAAACAGCTTTTTAAAATTCTGTCTCGAAAACGTTGCTAGCTCCTAGACTATAAGCGAGACTATAAGTAAAACAGCCAAATCGTTATGGAAATGAAAATATAAAATGACACCAATCGCAAGTAAATCGTATATCCGATGAACGGAGGCATGAAAATGCAATTAATTTAAAAACTGCGTTATTTTCTAAACAATCGGTGTCTTTAAATTCAACCAATAAAAATAATATCGTATTATCCTATCGTCGGCTAACGGATGCATGAAAATCAAGCTTTAGACCTAAAGTTACCTACAAATTAAAAAGAAATTAATATACCTACTAAATTTTGTACTTTATAAAAAAATGTATTAATTGCCCAAGCATATTTTCATATTTCTGTACGCCTAAATAAGTTGTTGGTCATACTTTACTTTCGTTACTTACATAGTCATTTCTTAATATCTTCAATCTAGCTCACTTACGTCTAATGGGAGAAAAAGGCTTAGGTATATTTATATATCAAAACAAATGTGCACAGTAAATCAAAAATAATTATACACCGCAGGTAGAAAAAATGAAGGATAAATTCGATAAAATGTGCGCCCAAGATCAAATATCTCTCATGGGCCACATGTACACGTCGTCGCCCAACCTCAAGGAACTGCGGGACATCACACCCTACCTCACCGCAAACTGGATCGCCCACAAATTTCCTAAAACAGAAGACAATACGCGATCTTTGTCATCACCAGACACTTCCATCGCTTCCAGAGATACCTCTTTGGTGCGTAGGGATAGATATAGAACCAAGAGTGCCTCTCCAATCAAAAAAGGACCACAGCCTGTATTGAAACGTTCGGTAGACAGGAGAGGAGATAGAGAAAGGTTCGAGCCTTCAGTAAGATACTCTAAAGGTGGGGTAATGAGGACATTAAATATGTTTAAGCACTCGGTGGTAGATGCACTATGTGAAATGGTATAAATGTTGGGCACATGTACACTGGAATATAACTAATTGGTTAAGAGGAAGGTTAAGAGCAGGAATGAATTAATATATAGTTTTTACCTTTTATTTTTATCAGATATGTTTTATAATAAATACGGTATAGTCATAACTAAATATTTTGACGTAGTCTCGGTATTCATATATATTTTAATTTCAATTTTTTTTACATCTCTTATGAAATTTCTTTAAAATATTTATATGTTAAGAACCAAATCATAATTCCATCTTATTTTTGTTTAAATATTTATATATTAAGAATCAAATCATAATCCTATCTTATTTTTTTTTATTTTTTTTTAAATGTAACATTTCCACGATTAAAATTTATTTTATTTATTTATGAAAATATTTTGTACGCTGTTAACAAATATTACATATCTATCACAACTTCAGTTATTAGAAAACTAATTTACCTTGTAATTATACAAGGCCCGGCAATAGTGCGTCGGGCATCTGTAGCTCCTAGAATAAAAAACTTGGGAATTTTGTTTAAGTACTAGGATGTATTTCATGAAAATATTTTAACTTCTATAGGGTGGCTCAAAAAAGTGTGTGTGAATTGGGATGATTTTTTTTTAATGGAACACCCTGTATATTATTGCATTTTTGGCTTTCTTTCAGATCACTTTACATAATCCTAAGACATGAGCAAATATATTTTGATAATTTCAGAGATATTAATAAATAAATAAAAATATTATATTTTTTTCAACCTTTCTTAAAAAAATTATTAATAATACAAGAACTGTCCTGAAATCAAAGCTATATTAGATATTTACTTTAGATGGTTTTTACTTACTTCGCTATAAATATGGAAATCGTAAAACATACTGGATGTTCAAAATTCTACGCCAAACTTTCTAAAATATAAAATATTTTTTCTTTGTTTTTTTTTAATGGAACATCCAGTATATTATTTTTTTAATAGATGGAGAATTAAAAAATGAACATTTTTTGCATTTAGAGTATTTCAAAATTTTTGACGGTTTCGCAGATATTCCCGGTTTTGTATTTCATATGGCATTTTCCACAGTAAATTTTTATCAGTGCCGATTAAATTTTTATCAGTGAAAATGATTTTTCTCTCGTATTTTACCATTGAAAGCGTCATATGAAATAATACTGCGTGTATCCGGAAAACTATTAAAAATTTTGAAATACCTTAAATACAAAAAATGTTCATTTTAGTTCTCCATCGAATAAAAAATAATATACAGAGTGTTCCATTTAAAAAAACCAAGAAAAATTATTTTATATTTTTGAAAGTTTGGCGTAAAATATTGAACATCCTGTATGATTTACGATTACCATATTTATAGCAAAGTAAGGACAGACCATCTAAAGTAAATCTAATATAGTTTTGATATCAGAACAGTTCTTGAATTTTTAATATTTTTTTTAAGAAGGGTTGAAAAATATATATTTTTGATTTATTTTTTAATATCTCTGAAACTATCGAAATAGATTTACTCATATCTTAGGATTATGTAAAAAGATCTGAAAGGAAGCCAAAAATGCAATAATATACAGGGTGTTCCATTTAAAAAAATCATCCAGATCCACTTACACTTTTTTGAGCCACCCTATAGAAGTTAAAATATTTGCCGGAAATACATCCTGGTACCTACTTTAGGTCTGCACTTAGACAGTATGTTATATTTTTTTACTAGCTATACCAGAGAGACTATACTGGTATTTAAACAGTACATCTATATTATGTGCATTTTCATTCCCATCACATAAACACTCACAATCACATTCACATAGATATCTTATATAGAATCTAAAAAGGACCATACACGCATCGATATCTAAGACATTTGAACTCTACTGTCCTTCTATCTTTGATTCAGTCCAAATCTCAACATGTAGTGGTGGCTTCGATAAAGATCTTATCGGAGAGATGAGATCTGCGATCTTTCAACACGCTGAATATTTTTAATTGCACAGACCACACATTTGCCGAGAACTGTACTAGCCTATAGACTGACGAAATTATCTTTTAGAGGATCTGAACGTGTACTGTGAAAAGATTGCTATCGATTTGGTCTTAAGATCTGAACTGTGCGATTTAGCATACAGATCAAATCGTTGCGTGCAGGGCCCCTTTAAGATTTGCACACAAAACACGCAGCTTACGTATAATTTTTACGTACACCTAAGATGTCAATAAAAACAAAATCAACACTTCTGTCATTAACATATTTTTTTTTCATTCCAATTCTTTAATCAAAACTAAAAACATTCAATTGAAGTACAGGTTTTCCCAAATTTGAGACTCATTATTGGGATCTCGAAAACTGTACTGTTAGGTATATTAAATAGTACCATACAAAAAAACGGCGTCAAAGATGGCTTAGAAATGAAGATAGCTGTCATTTTTCATGTAAAATTATATAGGAATGTAATTTACAATGATATGGAATCCTCATTTACAAACCAACTGAACCGCCTTTTTTCAATGAAGTAGCAAGTCAGCTTATTATTAGTACAAATATTTGATATTAATTTATTAAAATATATAGTTGTTTATTTATTACATTTCGTTGGTGCACATGTGGAATAAAAACTTAATGATTTTTTTACGTAAATACATATCAGCAATATTTTCTTTGAGTTTTACAAATCATGAAGATCAAATTCACATTAAGTTTATTATTTTCATTTTTATTAATCTTCTCCTTGTTGTTCAATATGCCGATATGCATTTGGACACGATAGCACGGTATCTTTTCATTGAAATATCATTTAGGTACTCTTAATTGAAAGATGTAAATGTTTTTAAAAGATGTTTATTTTTGCTTCGAACTAACAATATTCGCATTTTCTACGCAGCTATAAAATCACTAACTTTTGTGCATGTGCTAAGTTGTATTGTGTGTTGGGGTGAGAAAATCTGGTGATTTTATAAATTCTTTATATTTCATTTTCCATTTCAATATTTTTCATATTCCATATATTATTTTTTTCGTATCATATTTTTCGTATTTATTTAGAATTCCAATGGAATGATCTAAACTCCAGAGTTATTGATCTATAATCACAAGTTTATGTACTCTCTACACTTTAACTCAAACATTAATATATGCCTACATATTCACACTAATGAACATACAACAATCACCAGATTTATTTAAATAAAGTAATTTGAATTAACGAATAAGAAAATAGCTGAAAAAGTATTGTAATTCCTGATTAGAGCCAGATATACCCCCACCACCCGCATTGCCAACACACCTGGGAGGAGTACAGAGGCAAGATCAAGGTAAATTCAGATTAATCATAAGAGTTAGTAGAAGTAGTATCTTATCTAATACTTCTGTTGAAGAGATTAAATGCCAAATGAATTGTGCTAGGGTACATCCAAAAACAGTATTTTTTTTCTATTTATACACCGTGAAAATATCTTTCAGTATGATGAAAAACAAATTCCTAGAAATAGCCTAGAATCGCCTAGAATCTTCGAACTCTCGTTAAATCTGTCTCATCAGTTGCCAGACGTCCGGAACTTCCGGGAATATCCCGAATTTCTATATGTTGTCCCGCATCCCGGATGATTATTAGGCATATTATCCCGGAAAGCATCAATGAAATTATAAAATCAAATGGTATAAAGTTCGCAAAGTAAAAACATCTGTAAAACATACATACTTTATACTTAATTTTCGATTTAGCTTCGTTCGTTTATATCTAATTAGTATTGCATAAGAGTCTTGAAAAAGTCTTGCAAAACCAAGACTCTTGCAAGAAATTCAAGACAAGACTTTCAAAATTTCTTGTCTTGAATTTCAAGACAAGACAAGAATTTAATGTGCAAGAAATTTCAAGAGTCTTGCAAGATTTCTTGAATTCAAGATTTCTTGACAGTTAGAAATGATACATTTTTTTAAGTGATAAGTAGTAATCACAATCATAGTCATAATCATAAAAGTTAAACTATCCACTTCTTATAAACCTGTTGACATCTACCATGAACTTAGCCTTTAATTTTGTTACAAACTTCACTGATATAAAAATTATGATTATGAAAATGCTCTATAAACGCACATTAAAATTGCGTTGTGATTATGACGATGATTAAGACTGTGATTATAATTACGACTTAAGCAAATGCTGTATAAACCCGGCATTAATATTGACCAGTGTCCATTTTTTTTTCTATCAAGCTAGTATTTTAGAGTTGAGAATGAAATAAAATAAAGTCGAGGCAACAAACCGTATATTGGTAATTGGTATTATACACATAATTATATTGGTATAATGGTATTATAAAAAAACTAACGGTAGTTGACACTAATGATGGGTTTGTGGAGCACGCTATTTGCGCTATTTGGTACTACTTTTCATGCACAAAATTGCTCCGCGGAAAAAAAGTAGTATCAAATAGCGCAAATAGTACACTCTTTTTAAACTTTTCCAATCAATCTTCCAAAATAAAAAATAAAATAAATACCATAAAAAATAAAAGTAACAAACGGGTAACCAAAATAGAACATAATAAACTAACAAGAATTAACAACTAGAACTAAAAAATGAACTTATGGAAATTCATCCATCCAGGAATTCAAACAAATTAAACTTCTTACCGATTCTGAATTTAGCCGGTTTCTGTGTTTCTTTATTAAGAATGCTGCCTTCGAAAAGAGACTTTCTGCGGGAACAGAAGTAGCCGGTGTACAAAAAAAATCACGATCCATTTTTGACAGCACTGGAAATATGGCACTATGGCTCTGGCACCATAAAATATCTGTTTTATCGTTCACTCTCTGCATAGATTAATAATTTTCAAGTTCATTTTTCCATATTACATTTTGTATACGACGCTTTCTATGAAATAAAATATAGAAATATTATTACCTTTTTGTTAGATGTAAAATTTTTCAAGACAAGAAATGTCAAGAGTCTTGCTTTGAAAATTTCTTGTCTGGAATTTCAAGATAAGACAAGAAATTGATTTTCAAGACAAGAGTGCTTGTTTTGTGCGACACTGTATCTAATTATTTACCCTTGTCATCGATTTTGTCTATATCGTCACTATTCTCGCAAATGTGGTGTAAAAGGGGGTTGTGGGGTGGTCATGTGTATTTTTAGAGCTTGTCGGTTTTTTTTGCTCGTGCTTTTTTGTCCTCCCGGTATTAAGCTATAACAATCTAGCTTCCCAACCCTAGCCTCATCACGTCAGAGAGCCTTACCAAAAGGCATCCAAAAGGTTCAAAAATATACGACACGGCAAAATTTTCTTCAAAGTTTCAATATCGCCCCTAGCGGATTCTAGCGGTTTCTAAATGCGAATCTAGCGGGTATGCAACTTCGAGTGTTGGCAACCCTGTGCTAAAGATTTTAGTTACGTGTAGACAGTATCAGCGAGTTCAAGCTACAGTTTTGTGACTATAGTTGGTTTTGTATTAAACCGATTTTGAAGAAAAATAATCATGAATATACGATCTTACTTGCAACGTGTGGACAACACACAGTGTTCCTTCTATTTTGCACAAACAATGCTGTGCAGGCAAGTCTCTACCAGGCAAGTCTCTAGCAGCCGCTTTACCTTAGTTATCTAGACGGTCTTCCACGCAAACTGACAAGTAAAACGTTATGTGTAGCCGGGGCTTTACGTCGAACTTGATCCAAACTTATGAGGCTATTTAACGATTTTATAAAACGATGGCGTTGCTACACGATACAATGTGGAAAATCGGTTTCTATGGGAAATGGCTTCTTTAACGATTTATTTCGAGGAATTCATGGACATTTCTCTGTGTTCGAATTCGATTCGCTCGTAAAAATATGCAAAAGGCAAACTATCGATAAATCCTGCTCTAATATCGTAAATAAGAGCCGGGCACTGCCAAGTAATAAACATCGAAAGCTATGTTTAGATTTTTCACATTTTTCTATACGTGAGTCGTCCTTACAATCGTGATTTCATTGATTACCTGCGGACTAAAATACGGTAAGAGGGTTTAAGTTTTTTTTATAACACATTAGATTATTTTCGAGTCATTAATTAACAAATAAAAAATATATATTAGAAATAGTATATTGTTTTATTATGAGTAAAAATGTCACTTTTTGTGGCGAGGCTGTACGTTTGACTTGGTTTGGTTTAACATACAGGCTAGCCACAAAAAGTCATTTTTACTCCGACTAAAACATGCTATTTTTTTTTTCAAACGCCACAAATATTTTTTAAACGCCACAAAAGTATTAATTTTCGCGACGTGATTGACAATATATAAAAAGTCATTTTAACGCCTAGGCATAAAAGAGAAGCACTTTTACGCCAAAGCAACGCCAAAGCATAAAAATACGAAAATATATTATTAACCTGACATAAATGTCAAATTCAACAAGCGTAACCATAGTTTCTCCATATATAATTACTTACAAGGTATTACTTTTAAATATTTGTTTATATTATTTAGAACGTTTGAAATTGTTTAAAAACTTATTTGGTGGCGGTTGAAAAAAAAATAGCATGTTCTATTCGGAGTAACAATGCTTTTTTGTGCCTCGGATGTATATCAAACATACAGCCTCGCCACAAAAAGTATCATTTACTTCTAATAAAAAACAATATACTATTTTAATCAATTTCAAACGTTCCAAATAATATAAAAAGATTTAAAAGTAATACCTTGTATGTAATTATATATCTAGAAAATATGGTCACGCTCGTTGAGTTTGACACTTTATGTCAGTTTAATAATATATTTTTGTACTTTTGTGCTTAGGCGTAAAAGTGCTTTACTTTTTTGCCTTAGCGTTAAAATGACTTTTTAATACTGTCAATCACATTGCAAAAATTAATACTTTTGTGACGTTTGAAAAAAAAATATATTAGTCTTCATCAACACACTTATAAAATAGTGTTTATTGTTTTTGTAATGTCACTGTCATAGAAAAGTCATATTATTATTGTTTATTGGCTTTATTTTTTATTGTTTTCTCTAGTAGAGAGTAGAGATGGTTTTAAGTACTGAAGTAATCGGGTATTGTTGCTTAAATTTGATCATGGTAGAGATCAACTTTTGGACTTCTGCAAATCATAATCTGCTGGAGTAACTGCCCAACAGACAATAATAATATGATTTTTTAAAGACAGTGGCATTACATAAATCATAACGTCAGTGAAACGTGATAACCTGCTAACTCCATTTTTGTTTTTTGTTTTGAGTTACAGCGCTTTCAGATGGAACGGACCGTCCGCGCGGAGCGTCCACGAGGATGTTTTTTCAAGATAGCTCATCCGGACGGAGCTTACGCGATCCATGTGATTCACATGATGTGAAATTGTTCATTTAAACTCATGGAACTCGCGGACGGTCCGCGCGGACGCTCCGCTCCATCTGAAAGCGCTGTTAGCAGTTTATCAGATTTCACCGACGATAATCATTATTATGTTGTTTGCTGACTAGGACCAAAAGCAGAGACATAGTTTTAATGCAAAAAATACATGTAACATAATTTATACAATAAAAACATGAATTGCTCTTATATTATACAATAAAAACATGAAAAGCTCTTGAGATGAATCAAAAAATAAATTATCGAAAAAAGATACATCTAGATGATAAATAGATTTTTAAATGTCTTGCTTTATTTACGTACTCCACAGGGTGAGTTTCCCTCGTATAATTGACAGATGGTAATTTTCATTTTTAATTTAAAAAAGACACTAGAAAGTCAAATAATTTAGCTAAAAATTGCTTAAAAAGGCATCAAAATCGGTTAACTAGAACACAATATAAAAAAACAAATTTTAAAATACATGAAAATTTTAAGGTGCCCGTTTTTCGTGCCGGTAAGTAGAATAAATTTATTTCAAGCCGTTAAGTACCTGATTAGCTTTAATTATTATTATATTAGCAAGACAGGTTAACTAACATTTTATGAATCATTCCGAAAAAAATCGAGACTTTAAATAATATCCTTTATGGCGAAATATACAGGGTGAGTGTTAATAAGTGCAAATATTTTTAAGGGTAGTATATTTCGACCCCAGAAACACAATTATGAGTTTTTTTTCGCCAAAAAAAATTGAAAACCAAAAAAACTTGAAACCGACCAAAAAAAAATTGAAAATTTTGATTTTTTTTTTAGTTTTTTTAGTCAAAAAACATAATTTTTTGATAATAACGGGGATACTAGATTAAATTTACAAGAAAGAAAACCTAGAAAAGGCCCAATGGTTCACTTTCAAAGTAACATCATATTTTAGACTTATTTGAAAACGGCAAAGAGAAAATATGTTTCTTTTATCGA